AGTCTATATACTGATACAAATGAGTTCTTATTTTTCTGCTCTGTTAAGTTCCAATAACAATGAGAACATAAATTAGGCGTCATTCGTTTAATTTAAATTTGTTTTCTCAATGCTCGGTTTTCGAGTAAATATAATTTAAATCTGGAGATTCTCATATGTCTACGATTATGTCACAGAAGAATAAGTTTATGATGTGTTTTCTGTTACGTAATTCAGAAACACTTTCTTGGCTTCTCTACAGAACACTGTCACCATTTACAGACTCCTGCCGAGAAGCTAATAATGTCTCAGCTAGTCACTGAACTCCCCTCATTTAATGGAACCCAAAATTTCGTTATATATGGACCAAGTTCACAACTTCACATTTAGATCTCCAACATCGTTTTTAATATTATCTCGTCTGAAATGTCTAGTCCATATTCGCAAGGCCTCGGGCTCAAATCTCGGCCCGGAGACAGGCTATCCTGACAGAAATTTTTCATGATTTTCGTCACTCGCCCAAGCCAACGAACATCTTAGCGAAATTACGTCACAACGGTTTCTTTCGCATTCTTTAGAATCCGGTTTTCATCAACCATTCCATCATTCGACACAGCAGGTGCTGACACTGATTAAATTCCTTTATCCGTGGCCTGTAGTCCACAGGCGAACTATACCGATCAAGTGACTGTCGCTTGTTGGCGAAGTTACTAGCTCCAACTTTTGCGTATAGAGAGTGTTGCGTGTTCAGCGCAACGGATTCCCACGGCCGTTAATCTCGGTTTTCTAGACAGACTGTGGTTAAATAAATGATAAACAATGAAAAGCATTCACCATACTTTCATGTTTTATGAAAATAAATCGGATTTATTTTCATCGTTGATGACGCACATAAGGATAATCACGGAGAAACGGTCGAGTGATTTTTTATTTCTTTCGAAACGATTCTAAAGTCGCTTTTGCTCGCCTGCTCATAATAATTTACTTCCGCCTTTTAGATAAAGTACAAATATAGGAAACATTTTTACCATTTGGTGTCAAATTATTTTGACTACCCATTGCATTATTTATCTAATCACACAGAAAGGAAAAATTAATTAAAGTAACAAAACAACAGTTCTATTGAAACATCGTTTACTTCTCGTTACAGATTATCTCTGACATTTTAGTTGAAATTTGTAGTTGTTACTAAATGAATTCATTTATGAAAGCAAAAATGACTCTCAGTTCGAGGTGACTGCAATTATATCCTCTGGCATCAACACACAATAATGAAAACAAATGACAGAGCGAGGCTTAGCACATGGATAAACGCCTTGATTGAATTCTGTTATCCCATCCGGATGGCGACTGAACCGCCTCTAGCGGCGAGCGGCGCTTCCGCATAATAATGCCAATTTCCTCTTTCATAGTGGCACGTACAATTGTGGAAGAGAATAATTCTCAATGTATTTGCAAGCTTTCGAAAGTGAATGGGTAGAATTTTCGTCGAAACCAAGTTACATATTCTGTAAGCATAGCACATTTCTGTAGAACGTGATATTTGTTCATGCTCTATTCTGCTCTTATTAAGACCGTACATGTATACGCATTCCCTTGTTCTCCTTCCGAGCTGCATAATCAGCTCATCGTAATCGCGTTGGATATTACCTCTCTGAGAACTGGCTGTCTTCATCGAACAGAATTCTCCTTGAGAAGCTGATAATTGCGTAGCTATTCGAAGAGATTGGCTCTCTCTTTAGATCTCGCAGATTCATTATCTTGTACACAAGATCTAACCTCTGATCCCCAGATTCAGCCAGCTGAATCCACTGCCCCATCCGCCCTATTTGTGTAAGATCAATTTTGGTACTCCTCATTTATTCCTAAGTTTTCCAAGGGACCTCTTTCCAATAGTTTCCGGCCACAATTGTATCTGTTTTCGGAGGGGGAACTATTTAAGGAACCTCGTAAAACCGATATGTAAGAAAAATATTTTGTGTATTTTTCCAAAATGTGTAATCACATTATGTTCGGTGAGACATTAATTTGAACCAAATGCAATACAACATAATTCTGTTCGTTTAGCGGTGAAATCAAGGTTTGTTAAAAAGAACAAATAAAAAACAAAGAATAATTTAATGACGTCATTAAAGAGGTTGGAAAGGGAGGGGGGTTGATTATGAAGGGCCTGTAACAGCCGATAAGCACGCAACGGCGTCCACACAGTTATAATTAAATTGTGGGAGTGAATCATAGGTACTCACAAAGTAATTCAATTGTTTTTAGATCGCGCTATCATACAATCGATTGGTAACAACGCTCTGGTGGCATAATTCTGAACCAAAGTGAAACTTCGCGGAGTTTAACTCCGTAACAATAGAGAATGATTCCGATCATTAGAATATGCACTTCATAAAAATGATGGATTGTAATACTGAAAAGGTCTTAATATGCAGTCTTTACGGAATATTACGCATACTCGTATATGTCATGTCCATACCTCTACCGAACACCACAACCAGTACATTCTTAAACAAGCACGTAGTTTAATTCGATCTCGTAAAAATGTCGAAATGTATCCAGTTAACTTAATTCACTGTTGGTTAAGCCAGCAAATTAGTATAGCGGTAATACCTTATTCTTCAGTTTTTGATGTACAGGTTCGAATACAGACCGTGTTTACTCAGATTTTTCGTGGTTATTCTTTGTCTTCCTGCAGAATTTACTTATTACCTTAACGTACACCGATACATTCGTTTTAATCATTATTTGCTTATTCATCATTGGTTAAAATTAACTTCAGGGAGTTGAGCCCTTCTTGAGAAGCCACTAATTGCACAAGTACTCAAGAACTACCCAGCATTTTATGAAACCCGAAGGTTCATTACCGTGTGCACAAGAGCCCTCTACTGGTTCCTGTCCTGAGTCTGATCGATCCAGTCCATACCACCTCATCCTATCTCTTTGAGATATATTTTAATGTTGCCCACCCACCTACGTCTTGGTCTTCTCAGTGCTCTCTTTCCTTCTGGCTCTCCCACCAATATCCTATATGCTTCTTCTTCTCCCCCAGTCATGCTACATGCCCTGCCCACATCGTCCTCCTTGACTTGATCAGTCTAATTACACTTGGAGAAGAGTAAAAGCTAAGAAGCTCCTCATTATGCAGTTTTCTCCAACCTCCCGTCACTTCATTTCTCTTCGTTCTAAACATTCTCCTCAGCACCCCGTTCGTTCATCATTGATTATCATTTAACAATTTAATTTAACGCCATTTAACCTCTGCAGCTAAAACAGCTCCATTAATTAACCCACGAATTATTGACCAAGTTTCGCACCCGTACCCTATAATAATGTTAAAAAGTTGTATCTGTGCTTAATTAATTAAGCACTACGCCACGAAGGCGTATGGGGGAGTGGATGCATAGATGCACATTTTCTTGACATTGGCACTAATTGTAGGTAAGTGTTCAGCTTCACGCCGCTGCCGTTTTACCCCCGGGGAAAGAGCCCCCGTTACCAATTGGAATGGAGACTGGGTGGACCCCAGAGCCGGTCTGGACGACATGGAGAAGAGAAAATTCTTGATCCTACCGGGACTCGAACTCCGTCCCTCGGTCGCCCAACTCGTAGGCATTCGCTATACCGACTACGCTATTCCGGCTCCTGTACCCTATAATAGAACAGCTGTAATTGTTATCTTATATAGGCCTATGCTTTTTACTAGGAATTACTGGGTTATACACCATCGACCGCACCCTTTAGAATATACTGCATTTTTTGTCTTAAATTTCTTTTGCAAAGTAGAAGACTGAGCGGTTCTTAGGTTATTTAACCACGTTGTTTCAAATACAGAAGTTTCACTGCCACAGATGAGATCGCTGACCTAGCGGCATTGAAGTAAACTACGAAGAATCTTATTGGGAAGACACAGGACACGAATAGATAACGGCGGTTCCTGTCGTCTGGCTTGTGACGCTATGTGAGTGGCAGACATTTAACGACGTTTAGGAGAAACCTGCCTCATCGATATCGGAGTATAAGAGTAAGTAGCAAATACTTCAGAAACTTGGTAAATATCTACCAAACTACACTGCGTCACATTCCAGAAGAGAATATTCTTCATAGTCACCGCCGTGTAAGCCTGTAAGTTTTCTAATAGACAAGATCATGTTACGAGAAACCAATCCCATTTCTGTATTAAATAATGGATTACAATTTATGATTCCAAAAGGTGGCTGTATGCCCATTCTACGTAGTTGTGATATCCAGGTAATTTGCCCTCCTCGGGCTGAACAAAGCCCCTGTACTGTCGCACCTGAATGGACACAGAGCCTCCAGTAATCCTGTAATTGGTATTGTCGCGTTGCAGGGGGCCAAGCCGTGATCTCCTGCCACTTGATCTGAGTTGACAGGCCCCTTCACATGCTGCTGAGGGAGGCTGTGAAATTCTTCCTGGATACTACACACTTCAGCTCGGAGAGATAGCCCCGGATCAGGGGCACACCTGCCAATTGCCTGCCTTTTCATGTGTGGTGTTTACCATTAGGATGCATACTGTAGTCTTCTTAGTGACGGTATCATGTAATATGAAGATGGTTACCAGGGTTTCCGAGGAACATGTTCGACCCATCTTCAGGGTAGGCTAGTTCAGTCACAATGGCTGTGGATTGAATTCAAACCTGAAATTGATTTCTGTGTCGGATTTGAGGTTTTAATGGCGGTAAATACGACAGTACTATCTTGTGAGACGTAACACCCGTAAGTGTTTTGTGGGACGTAACGCCGGTAACATTCTTGTGGGACGTAAATGTGGTAACTCTGTTCTGGGACCTAACGCCGTTAACTCTCTTCTGGGACGTAAGTCCTGTAACCATCTAGTGTGATGTAATACCGGTAATTTTTGTGAGACGTAACGCCAGTAACTGTCTTGTGTGACGTAACGCTGGTAACAATGAGCGAAGGCAGTCCAGGTAAAGTAGTGCAATTTGACGGATGTCAATATGAGTTCCTCACAAACATCCCGAGAATCCAGCCCTGTACTCGCTTCGGCGGCATATATACTAAAATTGGAACGATACAGAGAAGATTAGCATGGCCCCTTCGCAAGGATGACCCCATTTTTAACTATTAAGAGTGGTACAATTGGTCGGAGACCATCCCAAATAATGGAAGTTATCTCCAAGGATATAACATTCCAAAATTATTTCACTATACTGCGTGCCTATTTTAAAACCGACGCAAATTTTATATGCAGTTTGATCATAAATCGCCATGGCCGAGAATCAAGGACCAAATAAGAGCAAGGTCGATCTCAGAGCTGAGAGACTGGACTACAAGGAAGAGCTGAGAAGAGTCCAGCGAGTTATGGACTTACTCTTTCTTCTATGTTATGAAGAGGTCCCGGATTTTGATGACCTGAAAATATTTAAAAAGTGACCTATAAAATGACCGAAAAAATCCAGAAAAATGACCTAAAATATGACCCAAAAAATGTAATATGCAGGGTCCGGATTTTGATGACCTGAAAATATTAAAAAAATGACCTATAAAATGACCGAAAATCCAGAAAAATGATCCAAAGAGATAAGAAAGAACACTTCGCTTCCATGTTATTCACATTTCAGAAAACATATGAAGAAAAATTCCCTAAAATGGCCAAAAATGACAAGAAATACCCTTAAAAGTCCAAAAATTTACCAAAAAATTACCCCCAAAATGAAAAAATGGCAAAAAATTACCTATAAAATTTACATTTCTGTAACCATCAGCTCATATCCGAGATTTATATATTTAAGAGCATCGCATAGGATACAAGGAAAAAAAGATGACATGTCATCAAAATCCGGGCCCTGGTTATGAAGAATTGTGCTCTAGGAGGTGATGAGAAGTAGGCTTTTCCAGAATTTGATCGCAGAGACATTGGCCATTTAAAGAAAATCGGGAAAGCAGTCCAGGAAATGATCGACATCAAGACTGACGAACTTTTGTCTGAGCTTTTGGAACCAACAGAAGAGCGAGAGAGACCTGTAATTGACAGGTGTTCCCAGTGTGGTTTCTTTTACTACGGAGACTTTGGTCATCTATGCAGAAGGCGAAAGGAGAACAGTGGCGATTCTGAAGTCCCACATATTGAAGATTCTGAGGGACAGCCCATATATATATATATATATGACGCAAAACTACTTCAGTGCTGAGGTTGTTGATGATTTATCGGATAAATACCTTTTGTACAGGAAGCGGGTTGAACCTTTGATACCAAGGGGAGCCATAAATGCAATTCAAGGTTTAGAGACTAATGTGAGTGTTTTAAGTAAATTCACCTACTTATCATCCATACACTTATACGATGGCACGTCTAATTGGGTAGCGTTTCGTGAACAACTAGTTCTGCCTTTCATTTATGTTATAAAAATTGAAACTGAACTATCAGCATAATGGGACTGTTCGAAAAGAAGCTGAGAAGATTCCGCTGGAATTGACACAACGGAGGGTTGAAGAAGAGAGTTTTAACCACTTTGATCAGGAGATGAACGCACCAAATGGCAACACTGATGATGAAATTGCCACTGAGATACGTGAAATCTCAGAGCAAATAAATTTAAGACCAATTCATAGAAAGGAGATCGAGAATCTCGAAGAGAGAGAGATTCCAGAAATGCAATCTGAACCATCACGACGCTTGCAGCTTTATGGATTAGCTGCAATGAAAATGATCACAGACGAGGGGCAATACTCCAAACTAAGAAGCAAGCATTTTGAAAGTCATCACTCCAGAACTGATGTCATTGGATTGAGAATGAAGATTCGTGATGACTGTGGATTTGGATATAGCATTTGTCCCCTAGCTAATAGGGATGGAGGATGCACGGTTTATTCCATGCAACTGACTGACACCAGAGACTACCTCAAATATATTATGAGGTATAGAAAGAAAAGTGCCGCGCTATAGCTCAAGCGGTTAGTCGCTGGCTTCCCAACGCAGCGGCCCGGGTTCGATCCCGGGGTCTGGTCAAGTGGGATTTGTGGCGGACAAAGTGGCGCTAGGGCAGGTTTTCTCCGAGTACTTCGGTTTCCCCTGCCAATCTTCATTCCACCAATTGCTCCACAATCACCCTCACCTATCATTTGTGGCTGGTACAATAGGCCAGAAGTGGCCGCTGTACAAGGGACTTAGTCCCTCCCCACTAGAAAAAAAAAAAACTCTTGTGGGACGTAACGCCGGTAACTCTCTTGTGGGAAGTAACGTTGGTAACTCTCCTGTAGTATGTAATGCCGGTAACTCTCCTGTGGGATGAAATGCCGGTACCTCTCCTGTGGGACGTAACGCTGGTGAAAGTTCATTGATGTTTCTGATGAACATACTGCCCTCATCCTCAGGGTTGAATTATACGGCAATCAAGCAACTTGTAAGATGAAAGCAGCAAACAGAACTTGTATTAAAAGCCAGAAGATAATAACACTCATAAGCGCGGGGTGTTTGTCGGGAATTTGTGGAGCTGGGAATAGAGGGGACGAATAAAATCAAACCGTTCTGAACGGTATTAATAAGACTTCGATACGGTGAAAAGGGGCTTCTCATGTAATAGCTGGAGTTACATGGGACGTTCAATTTTTTAAAGACGCAATTTTTAATAAATGGAAACTGACATTTTCCCTTAAGCCTTTGAAGTCTGAATGAGAGAAAAATCAAAATGGAGGAGGAAATGACACTTCGATATTTTATGGGAGAACGGATAGGAAATACCCGGTTCTGAAGCTGCCAAAGTTGTGTCCGACCCGTCATGCTGTTAATTTGGGTTGGAGATAAGGTAAAATGATGGGTAGTGGACTGGTTAGTGGTTATGCAGCAGAAGAAAACTACTTGAGCATGGTGTTTGCTGCGTCAGAACGGAATCAGTATTTTGGAAGGTCTACACGTTGGAGAAATGTTTATGTCTCGAATAATTTCGGTTGAGTGGTGCGGCCGGAGGGGGGGGGCATACAAAGCCAACGACCCGTTACTTCAGTTTCTTACTTACTTACCCATGGAGCTGAGCCCTTCTGGAGGAGTCGCCAATTCTGCAGCTACTCAAAAATTTCACAGCATTTTATGGAACCCGAAGGTTCATTACTGTGTTCACAAGAGCCCTCCACTGGTCCCTATCCTGAGCCAGATCAATCCAATCAATACCATCCCATCCTATCTCTCTAAGATCCATTTTAATATTGTCCACCCACCTACGCCTTGGTCTTCCCAGTGGTTTCTTTCCTTCTAGCTTTCCCACCAATATCCTATATGCATTCCTATTCTCCCCCATTCGTGCTACATGCCCTGCCCACATCATCCTCCTTGACTTGATCATTCTAATTATACTTGGAGAAGAGTACAAGTTATGAATCTCCTTATTATGCAGTTTTCTCCAACCTCCTATCACTTCATCCCTCTTCGGTCAAAATATTCTGCTCAACACCCTGTTCTCAAACACCCTCAGTCTATGTTCCTCCCGTAATGTCAGAGATGAAGTTTCACACCCATACAGAACCAGAGGCAAAATTATAGTTTTGTATATTCTAATTTTTATGTTTCTGGACAGCAGACGAGAAGACAAAAGTTCTGAACTGAATGGTAGCAAGCATTACCCGAGTTCAATCTCCTCTTAATTTCCTCCTGAATCACGTTTCAGTTTCAAGCATGAAAATTATTAAGGCTCTTAGTAATGATCAATAGCTTGTGTGTTCATGAACGAATTTTTAGAATCACGTTAGATTGTATTTTTTTAAGTATTATGGGCAAGGATTTGAGAATTTTCAATTTCCATTAGTTGAGTAGTATAATCTGGAGAATTTGCGGGCCACCAGCTTAAGGGGTTTATATTCAAATCAGGATTGCTGCACGAGAAGCAAGCTATAACAAACATTTGCTTGAAGACGGAACGAATAGAGTGTGTGTCGAAACGGCCAGTCGCAGGAACTTCAAGATGCAGACAAGACTCCTAGCCAACAGTTCAGTAGCTACAGAATGTGTAGACGTCCCCTGAGGCGCCTCTAATGCGTGTTTTGTTATATAACATTTTTAGAAGTTCCTTTCCTACCGCACAGAAAACACACCAGGGAAAAAATTGTACGAAACATAAATACACAGTTTCTTAATATTTAAGCGGGTGGTTCGTATAGTGACCGCTATGCTTTAAAGGATTCGAGTACGCGACATATAGATGAATACCCTTAAGGCCATATTCCGTCGGTGAGAATTTTCTATTCTACTTCGTAAGGTCGACCGGTAATCCCAGAAACGCCTGGGTGTAAGGTTAATATTCCTTCGTATTCAGGATATCCTGGTTTCGATTCTCTGTCTGAATTCCGACTACCCTGGGGCTCTAGTTCGTCTCTTCATTTGCTCCATCTTCTGATGTAATTTAAAACTGGCCATGATAGTTTCCTTCCGCTTCGTAGCCATGTTATTACTCACAGTAACAGTGCGGATGGAAGGATTAGTGTCAACTGAAAAACCCAATGACCTCATCGGAAATCGAATTCACGAACTTCCGGCTTGTAGCATAGTGCCTCAACCAGCTGCGCTTACGCTGCCCTGTAAGTCATCAATTTGAAGAAAGTCATTAAATAAAACAAGAAATATTATATATCATACTAGATGTAACCCACGTTTCGAAAGAACGTACTGCTTCCATTTTCAGAAATTCAATCTAAGAAACAGATAAAAAATTCTGTGCAGCTCTATGTCGAACACAACAGAGGCCTTTATTGTCGATTATTTCTTAGGGAACCTTTCTTGCAGCATGTGACGTCACAAAGGACTCGTGCCCAGAGGGTTATGAAGGGTTGTAGGGTAAGAAAGATCCGCCCCACTTTATAATTCAGGCCCCCTCCAACCAATCAGAAACCTGACGCANCTCCCCCCCCCCATGGCCTTTTAAGTCGACCTTTTATTATTACAATTTTGAGGTTCGCTATTGCGTCACAGCAACGAGTAATGAAGGCATGCATTATACACCATAATTGAAAATGTCTTCAACTTTGCATTTAAATTTTGAAACGACAGATGAATGAGATGATTAGAGGGGCTTCGACAAAAAAAGAAACGAGAATGTGAGAGATAATTTTTAAACTTTAATGTGCACAGTGACCGCTTCGGATAGCGTTTTCAAACGGAATTTTTATTGCAAATCCTCGCTAAAAACTGGAATTCAGAATGAGGGAAAAATTCACGTTTGTTACAATCAGCTGTAACTCCATTAGCAGTCTGTATATAGCGGCCTGTAATTATCTTGGCTACCAACATTGCCGGCATACATTTCCCAGATTATTTCTGGCAGTACCTCCCAGCTTCGCCACACACAACTACAGAGCCAATCACTAGCGCCTCCATACGTCCATCCTCGTTACGTCAAACGTAGCTAGTATGCCTCATTACGAAGTGGAAACTTCTATGTCCCTTGAGGTAATTATGCGTATTTAGTCTTATACCTGTATAGCCCTGTTTCAGTTACCTGTCCCTGTAGTAGAAGTTTCACTACCGCTAATACCAAAACATATCATTGGACATGATCCTGAGCCAGTTCCATCCACTTCCCATCCTCACAACCTATTTCCCGAAGATCAGTCTTACTAATTAGCTAACTCTCTGGCAGCAAAATACAAAGTTTTAATATCCACTCAGCCTCGTGCGGATAACTGAGGAGTTATTTCAAAGAAACAGCGGCTCCGGTCTATAAAACCAAAATTAATGGCGTCGGGATTCGTTGCGCTGACCACGAGACACCCTCTATCTGCTAAAGTTGGCACTAACTTCGCCGAAGAGCGGCGGTCGCTTGGTCGGTAAATTCGCTTGCAGACAAAAACCACGGAAGTTTTTTTTTATACCGGAATGATCATGGCTACTTTCACCTGGCATTCATCCTGTTTTCCTTATGTGCGTATTATATTTCCATCCACTTCTTGGATTTCCAAACTATCACCTTCTCTATGCATTTCATGTCTGTCCATCCTAGCCAAGTGCTCGGTGCGTATTTCGCCCTAACCATACCAGATGACCGATCACAGTGGCAGCGCGGTCTAAGGCATGAACCGTCGTCGCCCGCTCAAATACTAAAATCGTGAGTTCGAATCCCACTCGAAGCATGGATGTCTGTGTGCGTTTCTTCTATGTTTGTTTTGTTCTGTGTGTAGGTAGCGGTCTTTCGATGGGCTGATCCCCCATCCAAGGAGTCCAACGAATGTGTATAGGATTAAGAACCTGAAAAGCGGCAAAGGTCCAAAAGGCTGTAAAGCCATAGAGAGAGAGAAAAATCACACCAAATGATATGTGTATTTTGCAAAATCCTTCGCTATATGAAAGGACTCTCTGTTGCGTCCGTTTTGAGAGCGGTTATTCTCCTCGCCACTGTGTTCTCAAAGAGCCTCATTCCCTTCTCTTTCATCAGAGCAAGATACTGCGTATCGGATCAATGTAAAACAGCGGGCGAACTTTTGATTGTGTATTGCATTTAAAGTTCTGCTGGCGGTGGCTGTAAAGGATACGGTCTTCTGGGTTACAATGACATATATTTCGGATAATGCCTTACGTTTCGGACGAATATATCGCCTCCATCTACAGGGTTGAAGGGTAAGCCGAGCATGAAACTTGTAAGAAACATGCGACAAGGTGAGCTCGCTTGGAAAATTATGCTTGATATAAGTAGGTCAGAGTCTGGACAGAACTGTGAGGGACCGTGCTGTGTTTCTTGGCACCCGGGCGAAATACTAAAGTCTCTGCAGTTTGCAGATATTGGTTTGTGTAAACCTCCTGCGCGTATTACGCTCGGGCTTAGTCGTCAGTACAGGTTTGAATCAGTAAGTTCCTCTATAAGGAAACGCAGAGGAAACTGAGTACATGCTGCTGTCTCGTCAACAGAATGCAGGACAAAATCATGACATAAAGTAGCTAACAGATGTTTTGAAAATGTGGCACATTTCAGATGTTTGGGAACGACCACAACAAATCAAAATCTGTTTCAGGAGGAAATTAAGAGGAGATTGAATCTGGGTAATTCTTGCTACCATTCAGTCCAGAGCCTTTTTTATTTCGTCTGCTGTCTAAAAACGTAAGAGTTAGAATATACAAAATTGTAATTTTGACTGTGGTTCTATATGGGTGGAAAACTTGGTCTCTGACATTAAAGGGGGAACACAGACTGAGTGTGTTGAAGAACAGGGTGCTGAGGAGAATATTTGGACCGAAGAGAGATGAAGTTACAGGAGGTTGGAGAAAACTGCATAATGAGAAGCTTCGTAACTTGTACTCTTCTCCAAGTATAATTAGAATGATCAAGTCAAGGAGGATGAGGTGGGCATGGCATGTAGCACGAATGGGGGAGAATAGGAATGCATATAGGATATTAGTGAGAAAGCCAGAAGGAACGAGACCAATGGGAAGACCAAGGCGTGGGTGGGTGGACAATATTAAACTGGATCTTAGAGAGATAGGATGGGATGGTATTGATTGGATTGATCTGGCTCAGGATAGGGACCAGTGGAGGAGTCTTGTGAACACGCTAATGAATATTTGTATTCCATAAAATTTTGGGAATTTCTTGAATAGCTTCACATTTGGCTGCTTCTGAAGAAGGGCCCAGCTCCATTTCTATCTCAAGTAGAAATCATACATCTTTCCCACATCTCCACTTGATTTAACAGTAATTTATGATTTCGTCTCGTATTTTGTTTATGAAACATGAACATTTACGTTAATTTCTTTACGCATATTTCTACACCAACATCTTCATTAGCTTGTAAATCTGGTTCCTTGCTTTTTTATTCAATCACCTACGTCTCTGTCCAATAAACTAATACTCTCAGCTGAAGGTGATATCCTACGGTGTTCGTCTTCCCTTAAATCGAAGGATCGTGTAGCCCTGCTTTTTACCAGGCTGTAAACACTTGTTATTCATCCGGGTTATGATAACAAAATTTACGGAAAGAATAACAATCAAATTAAGAAATTAAAATTTACCCATATAAATAAAATGAAAGACTGGGAATGAATATTCGAATCGGCTCCAAGTATGTACCGCAATACTTGCACATCGCTGTAACAGCTGTGATACCGTACAAATTTGCAGCAGGACGGAGTAAATGTATTTTCATATTTCGCCTACATTGCAAGTTGCTACCGAGCCCTTTTCATGCGGGCCCCTCGAGTCAGATTCATCAAAAAGAACCCCATTTTCTTTTGTAAAGGAAGCCAACTTATTCTTTCCAAATTGTGCAAGTAGTCATTAATTCTGGAAGTCGAATTTATCCTTCCCCTGTCTCAACAGGCCACTGTTTCTAACCACTGGAACGTCTTTATTTTCACACTGCACTTACCAGAAGGAAGCAAGCGAAGCCCGGTAATTTTTAACAAAATGACGCTCTTTTCGCCGCCACAATAAAATGTATATCATTTCTCCCCTGATTTTCCTTTTCATCTACTCCTTTACTCTGCTTTATTATCTCTCCCTTTCTCCCCTTTCTATTATTTTGTTCTGTATCCCTCCAACAATTACAGGCCTGAGTCGCCATATTAGATATATACTGAAATCGGATCGTCATAATAATTTGTTAAAACTGACAATCTTTTACGTTAGTAGTGTGATAGACAAGAACGGCTGACATCCTTAAAAAAGGTCTGTCATTAAACATGTTTAAGGATAATTACAAAGTGGAGGGGATATGATCGTGGGTATTGGTTACCTGTTTAGGTGGGGGATGAACTAAGGAAGGGGTGCCAGCAATACAAGGGTGCTTCGAGGGGTTAAATGGACCCTCTGTATCTCAGTGTGTTCATTGCAGCGGACAGAAACGGTTCTCTGCTCTCCACGTGGTTTCAGCGTTCTTCAAGAGATGTCACTCTGTGTTACGTTGTTACGGAAACGATGTGGACGTATTGTTGTAATATCCGGCGTGTAATTACATTTTGGGAACCTGCGCATGCGGACTGGAAGTGAGGGAAGAACTGAATAAACAGACAGTGCGTAAAGAAATAAGTCTCGGAAATGGAAGAAATCCTTTTTTTGTTCAAATTTGGCTCTAAACAAAATTCGTAACAGTGTATCTTAGCATCTGAAATTCTTGTCCAAACTGTCCGTGATCTGCGATAAATAATTCTCAATGTATGCACAAATTTTGTGAATTTACAGATGTTTCAAGACGGTATGATTTATTTTGCTTTATAGACTGGTTTATAGGTTATGTTTTCGGTATTTCAGGAAAGTTGAAATTTGATAATTGCATGAATTATTCATGCTAATAACCTTTAAATAATTTGAAAAGAATTGAAGTGAAAGCGATGTAAGTGAACATGAAAGAGTATGCTCCTGTGATCGAAGTTACGAAAAGAACCTAGGCATAATTAAAGTGATGTCGCGCATTAAAATGATGGTTTTGATTTAAAATATACAACAGATATGGAGTGCAAATATTCATAGAACAGACAGTAAATAGATCATTAAAGAAAGGACATTTTCGTGTCTACTATCTAGAATAAAATTCTGCTCCAAAAACGAATACTGGCTGTTCGAAAGAGGGATATTTCAGCATTAATTTTAAAAAAGAAGAAGGAAAGTGTTCACTGGCACTTCAGTTTCACCGATATCCTTCAGCTTCACAAGGGCATTTCAACTTCGCGGGAATACTTCCGCTTCACGTGGTCACGTCAGTTTCCCTGGGACACTTCAGCTTCACGTGAACACTTCAGTATCACGGCTACCCTTCAGCTTCACGTGCATACTTCAGTTTCACGGGGAGACTTCAGCTTCAGGTGAACACTTCAGTATCACGGCTACCCTTCAGCTTCACGTGTACACTTAGTTTCACGGCTACCCTTCAGCTTCACGTGTATACTTCAGCTTCACGGGGAGACTTCAGTTTCACGGCTACCCTTCAGTTTCACGTGTACACTTAGTTTCACGGCTACCCTTCAGCTTCACGTGCACACTTCAGCTTCACGGGGAGACTTCAGTTTCACGGCTACCATTAAGCTACACGGGGAGACTTCAGCTTCACGTGCACACTTAGTTTCACGGCTACCCTTCAGCTTCACTGGGACACTTCAGCTTCACGTGAACACTTCAGTATCACGGTTACCCTTCAGCTTCACGTGCATACTTCAATTCCACGACTACCCTTCAGCTTCACGGGGAGACTTCAGTTTCACGGTTACCCTTCAGCTTCACTGGGATACTTCAAATTTAAGGAGACGTGTTGGAACAGATACTGTGGACAAATTAATGGGAAAGTGTGAGGAAGAAGACGGCTGTATTTTATTACGTAGTGTTATCTGAAAATTGGTCTGAAAGCCTCAAAAGAACCGCCAGCAAGCAAGATTCAAATTCTGTACCTTAAGACCACCAGTCTGACAGAGAAGCGATATTGCAAAATGGCAGCAATATAAACGTCACGATGTCTCGGTCTTTCCTAGTGGATTCTCTCATCGGCAATCCGTCCCCCGTCCCTACCAGACAGTGCACCCAAGGGGCACCACTGCTACCCCCAGCGGGGTCTCCGCCCTTCAGCAGCTATCTGTTCTCTCTGGGTCTACCCCGGCCCCCTGTATACGGAGCACCAAAACTAGGGATACCTTCGGGGTACCCCCTGTACTGCAATGTGACCAGCGTCGTCAGACCGATGCCCAGGCCACACGACGTTCCCGTGACGTCACATAGTACTCCATCAGGTGAGTGGAAACTTGAGTTCAATCCATGAAGTTTACTATCTTCTGTAATGTGGTTCCGTATGGTTTGGTAGATCATTATGAAATTTGTACTGCTGACGCTTTAAACTTGTATTCGGGAGGTGCTCAGATGGAACCTCGACCGGGACCCCGGCTATTCTGACAGTTTTTTTTTTCGCGATTTTCTTTGCCCCTCTAGGCAAATACCAAAATACGTGACGTCTATTAGATCACTACTGCATACTTCAAAATTATCTTTAATATTTTTTTCATCCATCACCGAATCATTAGACTCTATGTAATATGGATACTGACAGAGTTCTCAAACGAACTACAAGAAACGTCTTTACTAACGTCCCAATCTTCAGAGAAGATGGCGCCACATCCCAGAAGAGACATCAGGCTCTGCTAGAAACGTTAGATTGCAGCTCTGACCCCGGTGTACGTCACGATTACGGACCTCCGGGGTGTGTCACATTTTAACTCGGCAGATACTAAAGTTTCAGGGGACCTTGCTGCCTCCGTGTTCACTACAGAAGAGACCCACTGAGCGGTTTAAGAACTTGACTCGTGTTCAAGATATGCTCGCTTCGAAACTCGTCAGTGACATCGGTTATGCTGAGCAAGGTTCTTCGGGGTTTTAGGCCCATCCAGGAAAGTGCCGGTATGGTAACCCGCTTAGGCCAACATCACTTCTTTCCGTATCAATTCAAATTAATCGTTAATCTGTCATCCTACCATTTTCCCGCTGTATATTATAGATAGTGACGGCTTCTTTAAAGAACTGCAGAGAAAGACAGAAGAGATACCTGCAGATGGAGCCAACAGGCTTCTCCATAACGTTTGTCCCCCATCTACCAAACTGTGCGAAGTCACATCCCACTAGACCGAAATGTTGTGTAACAGAAGCATTTTAGCACACGACTAAGAAATTCGTAAGTTTATTTCTGCTATTAAATTCATAATTATTTAAAGTACTATTAGTTTAATAATGTAGTCGTATGAGAGAGTGGATGTATAGATCCACGTGTTTTTGACCTCGGAACTAGTTCGTTGTGAGTTGTCAGCTTCACACCCCAGC